CTCCTCTACTGCACTCAGCTAGAATTTGAACTTGGATCGTCCAGTTCATTCTCCGTACCGTCACAATGCTATTCTTATTCTTCCATATTCTTCATCAATTTGTCTACGTGTCGAGATCTCTCGGCATTCAGTGGCATGGATGGGCTAAACTGGTAATGCAATTGCGCATATGTAAGGCCCGATTCTTAATTGAATCTTTAGATCATCAGTTATTGATCGGCTAGACATCACCTTTTCTGCTAATTCGAGAATGTTTGAATATACACTGATGCCAGATGTTACAGTCCTATATGCTTTAAGCATATCTTTACTTATTAATACAATACCACAGACTGATTCGTGTTTCCCATTCACCTGGGACAGTCACTTCTCTCCTTCGAGGCCTTTACTCAACACATAGTGACGTAGAATCATAAAAGAAGCATACTTTTCACGCGTTTCAGCTGTCCGGACTTTGGTTAAAACGATTGTCTGAGTCATTAGACAGTGCTACCAGAGAAACAGTAAATTCTTCTGGGACATTAGCAGAATCGATAGGTCTTTTTCATTAGACCAGTTAATGGAGGAGCCATTAGTGCAAAACTATTGTCCTTTCCGAGTTGGAAACTTACACAAGAAGAAGAGGACAACTCAAAAGGAAGGAAAAAAATCTATAGAAGGTAAAAGCAGTTGAAAAGAAGAAATTTACAATCTGCAAGCATAAATTCTCGTTTTGTGTGTTTGTATATTATTTCCCGTACCTCTTGGTTTGATTAGAACAGAGAAAATTAAAAAAAAAATATTGTCTTGGATTGTTACTATCGCAGCGTATGTATCTGACTCTTCCTGGAACGTTCTAGTTCTACAAGAGCCATATCAGACCTAAAATGAAGTACTGTTGTTATATCTGGGCTGGGGCTGCCCAATATGTACTTTCCAAGTGTCTGTTGCGAGCTATACAAAAAGGTCCTCGGATTACGTCGGGCCCGATGTACGGCATTTCGTGGTTACAGTGCCATTCCGCATGAATAAATACTTGTTCACGCGGCGCTATATGAGGAAGACGGCGTTGTTTCTTCATCGCCTGTACGCCATATTGGATTGTGTACATTCACTCTCTCACGTTTGACTCGTTTGTTTTTGGTGGGGGACTTTTCCCCCTTTATTATGTCTCCCAAGCGTAAGGGAGACTCGTGGGTGTTTATGTAGGGGAGTTCCGAACTACGTCGAAAATCGGGTTACTTCGCGACGTAGGAACGGATATCAGACTTAAGTCGAGGAACACTTGTATTCCTTAGTTCCACCAGTTCAGACTTTTACAACCCGCCATACCCCATACACAGGGTTAACTAATCCTCGTTCTTTTTGAATTACTTTGTTAAAGAGAAAGTTTCCCTCGAAGGGCTTCTTCTCCAGAATAGTTACTTTGTGGAATTGACGTCGTGTATCGAGTCACTCGCCATCTTTTCTACGTATCCTCTTGACCTTCACTTACTTCCTCCTCCTACATTCATGCAACCTAATTCAGTAACTATTGGCCATGAGTGTCTCTTGGACATTGTATTTGGGTTGAGAGTTAGTAAAAAAAAAATGTATTTCTGAAATTACTCAGAAGATAGGTCTATTATAGTTTAGATTAGTTTCACAGAGAGCCTGTATGTCTGGAAACGTTCTAAGAGAAACGATTCGGCACTGTATGAATTGGTACGAATACCGCGAATCTTGGAGTAAAAAAGTTTTGAGTGACTTTGATGGAACAAGCCAAGAATACAGGGTGCAATGGATAAATTGTCGTCTAAATTACGCAAAAATGAAAATAACTATTACATCTCATCTTAACATATATTTACTAAAATTACACAAAAATATCTTGAACTACTAAAGAGTAAATTTATTCAATAAAAGCGCCATTGACTTCAGCCATGGCTTCCAGATGACTTTGGAATCTCCTGCCTCTTTTGGACGGCCTCCTTGCTTTGATGAATGCTGTCATAATCCTTGCGTTCAGTTCATCTTTGGTGTTACAAGGGGTTTTGTTGGTCTCTCGCTCAACTGCGCCCCACACATAATAATCAAGGGTGTTGGAGTCTAAGGAGTTAGGTAGCCAGATGTAAGGGGAGATGAGACCGCAGAAATTGTTTGAGCGCCATGACTTGGGTCGTCTGATTGTCTGGCATCGTGCGGAATCCTATTGACAGAAAATGGGCTCTTCCAGCCGCCATCCCCTTGACCCAGACAGCACTACTTTCTCAAGGCACTTGATGTAGGCCCTTGTGTTGAGTCTGAGTCCCTGTAGGAAGATGAATGGAGGCATCACGTTACCATTAGATTCATGCAACTCTTTCTGAATCCACTGCGCTGTCCTCAGATTGACACTTAAACACTCTGAAATGTTCGTATTGGAGCTTCAGGTACGAATGCCAAGCAGTACAGCATGTCGTTTCCAAGTTTCTGGGGGAGTGAACTGGGTGCTCTTTTTCTCACAGAAAAAACTCTGACCCTACTATAGTGTGCAGTCGATAAAATGAAAAACAAACAACACGCATGCAGGATATTAAATATATATATATATATATATATATATATATATATATATATATATATATATATATATAAACTAGCGACAATTTTTACATCCATATCAATCACTGCCCACCGTCCAAGGTCACACAAGCTGACCGGATTGTAGGACAGACTACACCATAGTGTCGCCACGGGGTTGTCTACTGGAAGTGCTTGCAGGGTTACCTATTCATGTACAATATGTCACTTTAAGAACCCTGATATTATGCCACTGTTGACCAGAGCAACCTTTCTAAGTACTACGAAAGAGTTCAGGCTGCTTACTCCTTGCTACCAGTCAGGGTACAGTAACCAGATTACTGCCAATCCGATAACCTCAATATGAATAGTCCTAACCTCCAGTTGATAATATCACCTTAGAGTCATGACAGCCCATCTTATTAAAGCCGCGGAAGAGGGAACAGGAAACAAAGGATAAACCGCTATTTCTGCTCAAAAGAGCGAGTAGGAGTGCGATCCGGGCAATAAGCAAACCTATGTGAAATTAATAAGCAGGTGGTTATAATAAACACGAGGGACGTAGAAAATTTTCCTAGAGAAAGGCACCAAAGATCATATATAGGGTGGCCCTAAATTCTGGACACATAGGAAATCTCAGTAACTATGTTTTTACCCCCACAGTCGAAAGAAGAAAGAAGTGACTTTTCTTTCTAGTATATGGTAAAGGAGAGGGTGTACTTGATCGAAAGCATAAAGAGTAAATGTGCTAAAATTGACGGCGATGTGGAGTTATTGCATCGAGTCACATGAATCTTGCAAAGCGCATCAACCTTTGCATCGGTCAGTCAGTTATGTGCCATGCTTGATACACGCGTAGGCGATCATATATCTTTCAATACATGACTGACGAGACAGATTTTTTCCCCGCAGTAGGTTGACATTTCTTTCTGCAGTAGACCACTTGTCATCCGAGACTATAGAACCTGCTATTTGCCCATAGCTTGGGGAAGAAGAAGAGGATTCATACCTTTCTCAAGGGTATTAGCACGTAAGTGAATGTAATCGATTCGACTGGAATTCGAACTCGGCCCTCCGATTCCTCAATCAGCTACCCATTACCACCATTACTTTGCATCACAAAGGACAAATATCCTATTGAAGACGTTATTTGTTAATATTCCAATTCAATAAAATGTTGTTGAAAATTTCATTTCTTGAAAATATGTATGTTTGCCTATGTATCCAGACTATAGGGGCGCCCTATAGATAGATAAATATGACAAAATGGGAAAAATGTTTTTGTCCATGGAATCTTATATATATATGTACGTGGAGGAGGTAATAAAATACAAAAAAATGTAGATTATATTAGGTTGGTGCAAAAATAATGACGTAATAATGTCGTTTTTTGACGTATTTTTTAACGTCAAAAAACGACATTATTACGTCATTATTTTTGCACTAATCTAATAATTCTACATCGATAAAACGCTGAAGATAGAGGAACAATTACACATATAATCTAACAGACCTCATTCATATTTCTGCCTCATTTGTTTTTATCGTTATTTTGTAAATGTTTTGTTGTATTTCGTTTTCTTCTCCAAATGTATAAGATTTCGTTGATATAAACATTGTATAGGCCCTTTTCGAAGAACAAAAACTGTAACATAGGATTTTTTTCCATTTGTCAATCAATTACTCACTAATAGTCGGATATATAGATTTGTATATCACATTCTCCTGTAAATAAATGTAAAGAATTATCATTATATGAGTTTACCCTGGCTTTCTTAATACTCTTTCGACACTTTTCAGATAACCTGATACATTTCTCTATTTAATGCAACGAACAACTGGCAACGGTAATATATACGAACAATTTCTCTTTTCTTTTTGAAGCCGCGAGAGGAAAAAATACTTTATTAAAAGACCATATTCCCTGTTTGTAAGAAATATCTTTGAGCTTCATTTGTATTCTATGAAATTAATATCTCAAATGCAATATCTGCTGGAAAATAATAATCAAAGCGGTGATATATTTTAAACTTTAAAGTAACGTCTATTTACTTGTAAGATGAATTAAAAAAAATGTTAAGATATAGACAGAAAAGGCATGGCACGTGGAACTAGAACAATCTACCCCAGTTGACTAAATAAAGAGTCCGAATCGAAATTCCAACGTATATCATTTAAGGAAGGCTGTAGAGTACAGTGGCCGAAACATCGCCAATATAACAACAAAGACGAACATTGTAAATAGTGTAAATAGTTAAAATACCTCATGTTGAATAAATGTTGAATTTAATTTTTAAATGATTTTAACACATCAGCACATTTTGAGAAAAAAGCAAATAAAAAACAAAAAAAAAGAAATATAAACAATGATTTTGAAAAATTATAAAAGAAAATATCTGAGTATTTGAAGTTTACTTTCATCTTATTTTCAAACGGCAGAAAGATGGCGTCATTAATACGTTCAAACAATTGCATTGGGTTTACGGCCACATCATGTTGAAACACCAGTTCCCCTACGATCACCGAAGTTAAGCAAACTCAAGCCTGGTCAGTACCTAGATAGATGACCGCTTGATTTACTTGATATTATGTGGTGCAATGTATAATGGCTCGGAATTGTTAATCGGAAAGAAGAGTTCCAATTCCAATCGAGTTCATTATATTCATTTACGGTCAAATACTCTTGGGAATGTATATATTCACCTCCTCTCCCTCCAGCTATGGATTAATTATTAAAACTCGTATTACTATTTCAAAAAAAAACCCCAAAACTTTAAAATCTGTATAAAATATACAGACCGATATAAAATATCCGTTTCATATGCAATATCAAAACTGATATACAATATTCGTCTGATATACAATATCCAAAGTAATACACAATATTCAAACTGATAATACAATATACTGGCTGATAGAAAATATCCATTTGATATGCAATATCCAAACTGATATACAATAATTGTCTGATATACAATATCCAAACTAATACACAATATCCAAACTGATATACAGTATCCTAACTGACGTATAATACCCAAACTAATATACATTATACAGACATATAAAAATATCCGTTTGATATACAATATCCGTTTGATATACAATATCCATACTAATATACATTATCCAAACTGACATACAATATCCGTTTGATATACAATATCCATACTAATATACATTATCCAAACTGATATACAATATCCGTTTGATATACATTATTCGTCTGATATACAATATCCGTTTGATATACAATATCCGTTTGATATACAATATCCATACTGGTATACAATATCCGTTTGATATACAATATCCATACTAATATACATTATCCAAACTGTTAAACAATATCTGTTTGATATACAATATCCGTCTGATATACAATATCCGTTTGATATAAAATATCCATACTGACATACAATATCCGTTTGATATACAATATCCAAACTGATATACAATATTCATTTGATATACAATATCCATACTGATATACCATACCCATACTGATATACAATATCAATACTGATATACAATATCCATACTGATATACGATATCCGTTTGATATAAAATATCCAACTGATTTTGAGCCTTTCAAATATTGTCTAAAATAGTGAGATTAATTAGTTTTACTATAACGTATTTATAAAAATAATCTTTGTTAGCTCAGAGACAATATTTCGTATGACGTATTCTTGAATTTTTCTGATGTTCTGAGGTGAAGTATTTTCAGTATTCCGAATAAATTCTTAAATATACACGTCAGATCGATACTAATGATTAAAAATGGTTCCGAACGAATGAAAGCTGTGGGTAATAGAGAAGGAAATCCTTCATCGAACCTCGTGGACTGGCGCTGCAGCATCACAAAAAAAGAACCCTAAAAAATCGCAGAAATTACATCATTTGAAACTCTCAAGAGTTGCAACAATTAAAATGGATAGCACAGGTAACACAAAATGATACAATCAAGATGCTGACGTTCCATGAAATCAAGAAATTATCAAAAACATGATGATATTTCCTGGTTGAGACTAATTGGACATCTTATTAACAGGTTAAAAACAGACAAAAGACAAATATATGGTCAATATATATATATATATCTTTATAATATAAATATATATATATAAATAAATATATCTTTATAAACAAATTTGCATAAAACAAATGCCTAATTTGCAAAAAAAATCGAAAATAAATTAGATCTTCTCAGAAATAAAATCATAGTAATGTGGCAATTAATCACTAATCGATATGTTTTTCACCTTCAATAACATTTTTTATAAACAAGAATTTATTTTACTAGTGGGTTCAACTCTAACCGATGTTTTTTTTTTTTTTTACAATTTCTAGAAAGTGTTTTTTTCAAAAATGGTTTTCACAATTTCTTCTTCTTTTACATAGACAGATAATACTTTAATAATACCTCCTCATGACACAATTTTACCCGACCTTGTAAACAAAACTATGTAAACAAAACTGTTGAACCCACAATAAATTTCACTTATGAATCTGAAACTTCACCCTTTCTATATTTCATGCTAAATAGAACCAAGAATGACTTGCAATTAAAAGTTTACAGAAAATCTACCAACAAGAATGTTCTTAGAGACTCCTATTCTCATCACTGCAGCAGAATAAAATCTGGAACAATTATGAGATTTCATTTAATAACATTAAGAATTTAATTGAAGAAACATTATACATGAAGACTATATTTAAAAATCTCTAGTATATTTAGTATTTAACTCACAACGCCCAGAGAAAGGCATACAAAATCTAAAACAACAACAACAACAACAACAACAACAACAACAACAACAAGGACTATAAACAAGATAAAAACGGGTCATATAATATTACCTACTAACTTGTGAACATTTATTATCCAAAACAATTTATCCAATCACAAAACTATCAAAATATTTACAACCACACCCAAAACTGTTATGGATATGATAAGAACTAAAAATGTCCATAAGAATAATTATTCTGAAGCAGGTATATTAAAAAAAAACAGTCACAAATGTTCATTAAAATATAATGAAGAAACTTGCAGAAATTAAAAGAAATATCTATGAATATAAAAAGGATCTTATCCATAACAATTCATCAAATGCATTAGTCATGCACTGTCATGGTAATTTACCTTCGCACGTATGGACTCTCCCAGCTATAAATAGGAGCAGGTACTGCCTTTTGGAGAGGAAAGCTTCCGACAGTCAGCTCTGAGAGTCGGACCGAACATTCTTGCTGTAACACTCTCGTTTGTATAAGTTTGTATTACTGTTTCTGTTAATATATTTGTTTAAATCAATTCCTCTCTATGTGTCTTTATTTCTGGCCCCAACAAGACCACAACATGCACAGAAATAAGTTCAAACATAGTTTCGATTTTAAAACGCCACACTTATTAAAAGAGGAAAGTAACTTACTTAGATGCAATGTTCCGCTATAGAGACTTGCCAAAATGTTAACCTGCACTCTGGATGTTTTCAAATATGTATATATATTTTATCACACTGACCACAGTCGGCATCATAGTGTAATTTTGAACTACACTATCTTTAAGATGGCGGCATAATATGCGCATCGCCAGGGCTACATACAGTTTTGAATCCAGATTTTTTCTTTCTTCTAGACTGTTTGTCAACCACGGCTAGAGAGCTCAGTCATAGCTGGGAAATATATATATATATATAAATATAAATTTCCGAAACTCTTCCTCCCAATATATTGGAGAAACAAGTAAAAGTTTAAAAAAACGCATTTATGAGCACAAAAGAGACCTCACAAAAAACAATTTACCTAATGCACTAGTCATACATAGAAGAAAATTCAACCATAATTTTGATTTTAAAAATGCTACACTCATAAAAAAAGAAAATAACTCACTCAGAAGGAAAATTCTGGAGAGTGTCGCCATAGAATATTACCCAAATATTAATCTACGCCCAGGCTTTTTTCCTATATATATATATATATATATATATATATATATATATATATATATATATAATATAAAATAAATTAGTAAACAAGATAGTAATAGCTGGGATATATATATATATATATATATATATATATATATATATATAAACAAGTTAATTACACACACACATTTCAGACACACACACACAAAACACACACACACACGCACACACACAAAATATATATATATATATATATATATATATATATGTACTCGCGTTTGGTTCTTTTGAGGAACTTTGTCAAGTTAAATTCCAAATTTACCTTGATAAATTACTTGAGGGGATGAAACGCATTTTGCCTTTGAAATAGTTCCTTAGGGGACGAAACACGTTTGTAATGACAAATTTTCATTTGTCTTTATTCATATTGTATTTTTACAGATATATTTATTTATACCTGACTTTTTATACACACACGCACACACACACGCGCGCACACACACACACACACACACAGATACATATATAAATGTCTTGTTTAAAATTTATGGAGAATAGTACTTTGTATTGAAGGTAGAGCATTTGTAGATACGGTATATAATCAACATTTTATAGTGACTTACATTTTCATGCGGTGAGCTACAGATTTTATATATACTACTCTTTCTATAGGTCCTCTACATATCTTCATTATTCCATAATTTGTTTTCAAACTATTGCTGTCATCTTTGCTGTTTTCACATATGGTTTTAACCGATATATTTTTCAGCTTCCAAATTCTTTTCTAAAGTCGTGTGATGCTTATTTAAGTTCATTTAATGTTCTCTCTTTTTATTTTTTTCTCCATTTCTTAAACGTATTTGGTTGGGTGTGGGCGGGGCGTATTGGGTCTCTGAAAGAAAAGACAAATCGTCATGCTGAGTCTAAGTTTTGCGTTCACTTTCGTTCCCTTGAGAAGTGAAAATCCATTTGTTCTATTCTTCCATCTATGGAATGCATAGCCAACTGGGTTAGAGCCTTGGTTAGCAGCCAGTCAAGGAGAATTAATAGTCTGCACTCAAAACCGGTTGTGCGCTTGCGCGTCTGGTAACTGCAACCCGTATGACGCCAACTTGCTACATAAATTATACACTCAATGTGCAGGGAAGATGTAGCACTTTGCTCCACATTCGGTGAGTAGGACAACCACGCCCTTCTCGGTCACTCGATCGCTCGCTCGCTCGGTCGCTCGATCGGTCGCTCGGTCGCTCGATCGGTCTCTTGGTCGCTCGCTTTCTTTCTTTCTTTCTTTCTTTCTTTCTTTCTTTCTTTCTTTCTTTCTTTCTTTCTTTCTTTCTCATTCTTTCATAGTTTCTTGCACCCAGAAAATTTTGGGTGACGTTTTATTTTTACTCAAATACTGCACAATTTAAAAATTCAAGGGGCATAGTCTTATTCTGGCAGGAAATTTGGGATCTGACCCCCCAAAAAAAAACACCCCCCCCAAAAAAAATCCAAAAGCAAACAAACTAGAATTAATAATCATCATAATTTATTAAATTTGCGAATTTTTGCGCCGCTGTAGTCACAACACCCCTCCATCACACAATTGGGATTCAAAGTGACATTCAAGGCAAATAGTGGAATAGCTTATCGGTTCCTTTTGTACGTAACAATAATAGATGTTAAAAATATAGCAAATATTTTCGGGAACAAAGACTTCTGTTCAATTTGGGAACGAAATAGCTATGAATTAGTTCTGTAATTCATTTGAGTAATTTTTTTTCATGATTGCAGAAACATGTATGTAAATTTTTATGTAAAAAAAGCCTTGTGTTATATCATATTCACTGTAAGAGGATGGACAAACTTTTCATAATGGCGTTCAATATATTATATTACATGAGATTAAGATTTCCATATAGAGAGTGTCCCATAATGATGGAACAAATTTTAAATGCAAGTATCTTGGATTATATTAAAAAGCATAAAGTGCTAAATATATTTATTACATAACTGATATGCAAGAGTTCAACATATCTAAGATTTTGCTGTTTACATCAGACATCTCTTTTGCTGACGGTGGACCTTCATAATGTCGTGGAAGAATATTAGAAAGCCTAATCTATAACCGTTGGCTACTGGCGCCATATATAAACGTGATACTGTTCTGGCTACTAAGCCGAGAGCGAGGAAGAGATTGAATGAAAAAGAGAGAATGGAAGTATGGTGGAAGAATACTTCACCAGCCAAAGATCCATGGTTGCAGCCCAAAGGAAATTCTGAAAGAATTTTGGAAAGCGACAAACATCGTCCAGAAAAGTGATCCTGCATGCTGGTACAAACTTCCATGAATGTCAACTGTGTTTGAAATGAGAGAGCGAGCTCGTGCATGTTCACTTCGTGGTCATGACCATCTCAGCGGTGTAATATTCAAATGTTAGTTAAAATACTGAACTCTTATATATCAGTTATGTAATAAATATATGGTACTTTATATCATATTTATAAGTAAAAATACTTGCATTTAAAATGTGTCTCATCATGAAGGAACACCTTGCATATTTGTGTGTATCGGGGATGGAGAAGTGTCAAAGTTGAAAAGCTTTTGACAACGTGTTTAGCCTTCGTTGCGTAGTTAAGTAGACGTCTTCATGTCATGTGATAAGTTGGGCTACATTTTAAAGCAAAGTAGTACGAAATTTTGAATTGACTTTCTACTCTTTTGAAATGAAAGTTAACATAGTTTATCATCAATGTACTCCCCCCACCCCCACCCACTGCCTGAAGCGGCAAGTAGCAAAATTAAACATTTAGTATCGATAGCCTTTTAGCAGTAGACCAACTAAGCGACATTAGATGAAAATTCTTATCTTTCATTCTGCCGGAAACCGTCTGTTTATAAAAAGAGCCGAAGCAGACCGCAGATTTAGAAATCAATATATTTTCCATTTACACGTGTTAAATATACATGAAATTTTTGTCAGGTGGAAATGTAGATTGTAATGACGTTGTGATAAACATATTTGTCACAAGTCAAAGGATGCCACGCCTTGTAGCGCTGTATTGAAACAATCACAGAATCAATTAATATGACAGCAAAAGGAAGTAACTTTTTGTGTAAAATGGAAAAGAAAATATATAATAATATTTGTCATTTATTTATAGATCATTTAAAGAGTTTTACAGCAAGGTTGAACAATTGATTTGAAAATTCATAAAAAATCCCTCTGTACATATTTTGTTCTTTCTCTTTTTCATTCAATCTCTTCCTTGTTCTCGGCTTAGTAGCCAAAACAGTATCACGTTTATATCTGGCGCCATTAGCCAACGGTTATAGATTAGGCTTTTTAATATTCGTTCTTAATAAAGTCATAACTTCCAACATTCTTATATGAGACAGGCGTTGCAAAATCTTCCGGCCGTTTAGTCATTATTACGAGCAAAGTTACAATCCCGTTCGAGCTTTTTGCGTTCATTTTCACACGAATTCCCTTAAGAAAGGTATGAGACCATCTTTTTTTTTCTCTAGCCTTGGGAGAGAGTATATGAGAAAGAGTACTCTGAATTCGTTACTGTGGAAAAAAAGGAAACAGCTCTACAATCACTCCAAAGAAATCCTCGTTAATCACATATAATAAAGGGAAGGAAACTATGGAGAACTGTTACCGCTTAAGTATGGAAAGTGACATGACATTTTAAAGCAATTCGAAACAATATAATATTTATCTCAGTGTGTTTATTTCTAATATCTCCACTCGCATTGTATATATTTATTATTTTTCATATATATATATATATATATATATATATATATATATATATATAATATATATATATATATATATATATATATATAAATCTTCTCCCAGGAAACTGACAGCCCAACACCGGCACATGAGATTCGATTATAGTGGTGAAGGTTTTGTGCAGGACCATCCACACTTTTTGAAGGGCCGAATACAGAGAGCTGGTGCACTACGTGCTACAAAGTCCCCAAACAACCCTCCGCAGGTTTTGAATTGTCCTTCTTCTAGACCAGTTGCCATCCAAGGCTATAGAATCCAATCTGTCCTGCTATTTTACCCATAGCTGGAGGATATATATATATATATATATATATATATATATATATATATAATAATATATAATAATAATTATATATAACCAATAAAGAAGAACTCGAACACGGATATGGAATAGCACAGCTATATTACAAACAGGAATATATACAGAGAAGTAGAAGTGTTAGTACGAACAATCAGGTTTAGTAGGGAGAACAATGTAGTCTCGACCAGTATCACTATTCCAATGTCTTGTAGTAATTGTCTGAACGCGACACTGTTTCGGACTGCCTCTGACTCGACTGACTGACTCGCTCGCTCTGACTGACTGACAGACACCTGACGGACTTCAGACTGAACAGTATTTAGTCAAACGAGGGCATCATGTGACACAAGGCCGGTTGAACGTGGGGTCTCCGAGCCCGTGGGCTCGGCCAAAAATATGCCCTTTGAACCCGTATAAACGGGTTCAGGGTCGGTTTACCTCCCCGAAAGAGACTCCGCCCTTCGACGTAGCCTCTTTCGGGTTCCTCCCGCCTGAAGTCAGAGTTCAACCGATCAGCCGGTCGCTGGAATAGTCCATTATATTATTATGGGTAAGGTTCCATAACAATATATATATATATATATATATATATATATATATATTCATTAAAGACGACAGACAATGTACTGTGATGAACCGTTTTATTTAATTTTTCTTGTGTTCGAACAAGTGTTTCATTTTCTGGATACAGAATATGTAGAAACCATCTAAATGTTCTGTAATCCCTAGCGTTTTCGGCTATACGTTTAGCCATTATTAAGGATGATTTTATTTTTACTTTTTAATTGGATGAATGGGTTGTGTATATGTTTCTAGAGTTATAGGGATGGTTTATTTTCCGAACAAAGTCAACACATTGCGGCCATGTTCGAAGTTAATATTACTGAGTTTTTGCTTTTTTTTTATTATTAAGGCTTCCTTTATTTTTAATCTTTTTTACGTGTTGATGAGGTTATTATGCTTGTATCTTCTATTAGTAAGTTTCGGGTGGAGTCTGGTAAGTGTGTGTGTTTAAATGGGTTCTGATTGAAGCGTGTTTGGATAGGTGTAACGCAAGTCGTCTAGATAAGCATGTGGTAGTGTGGCCGATGTAATTATTTATGCGTTCGGTTTGATCAGAACCACAGTTCCTTAAGGGGCATTTGAACTAGGAAATAATGTTTATTTTTTAATTTTTTAGGGGTGTTATTATTTTTAGGATAAGGTTAACCGTTTTGAATTGTTTTTAGTAGATAATTCATTTTTTTGTTCGGGTGAACTGGAGTAGTGTATTTCTTTATGATATTTCTATGTGAAGATTCATCTTGTTTGTAGCTGACATGCATTTGGTTTTTGTAGAAAATATTTATGTTATTTTTAACCGTTCGTTCAGTATCGTTATTGTTTACCCTGGAAAGTAATAGTCTAATATTTATATATATGACATTATATATATATAAGGGAGACAGACAACAAAATAGAAATATGAATAGTCTAAGATAAATAAAATATTGAAAACAAACGAAATAGATAAATACAAAAAGACGTTTTATCCTCTCTTACGATCTTCAGACCGTGTGTCACTACTCCTTGTGTGGTCTCTCTCTCTCTCTCTCTCTCTCTCTCTCTCTTTTATCTATCTATCTATCTATCTATCTACATATAAATGTGACCGTGTGAGGTGGGTGGGTATTAGAGTATGTGCGTGGGAATGTGGAGAAATGATGCAATGGTTTAACTATATACGCCTTTCACCTTCGTTGCGTAATTAGGTAGGCGTCTTCATGTCAGAAGGAAAGCCAAATAGGTCTCTCTGACCTGAAGACGCCTAACCAAAGAAGGCAAAGCGCGTTGTCAATAAAAAAAAGCTTTTCTCCTTTGTCTCATTCCGCCACTTTTGTTCAGAATTTTAATCCAAGTCTCTCTCTCTCTCTCTTTCTCTCTCTCACACACGCACACACACACATGCACACACATATGTAGGTATATTCGATTGTTTGTAGATATCTATCTAGATTGTTGTAGAAGGGATCGCGTCGTGCCATGAAGCTCTCTAGCTCCGTCTATTCTTAATTTATCTCATCCTTAAATTTACTTGTCTTGACCTGTTTGTCTGTCTGTTTGTCACTCTCTGTTTCTATCTCTCTCTCTCATATATATATATATATATATATATATTCCCAAGAGGATAGAATCCAGGTAGAACTCAATGTCCCGGGCAGAGTAAGAATTTTTGAATTTGTAGGTCTGATGAACGTGATTACGATTCCAATGTAATAAATTATAACCATGGAATATTAGTGTTTGAGCCTTTTATATATATATATATATATATATATATATATATATATATATATATATATATAGTTTATGAAAAAACTAGGTAATCCGTATGGGTAAAACCTAAGGAGGATAAAATCTAGAGAACTCTATATAAATCCAGAGCAAATAATTTAAATTAAAACAGACCATGTCCATGGAACCTTAAAAGTGGTCTGTTTTATATATATATATATATATATATATATATATATATATATATATATATATATATATATTTTATACATTTCTCTGTTTTTATCTAGATTATTATAAATAGGTTCACATTACATTCTCTATCTATGTATCTAATTCTGTTCGTATCTCTATATACTATTCTGTTCATATCTATCTATCTATCTATCTATCTATCTATCTATCTATCACAGTCTCTTCACATCTATCTATCTATCTATCTATCTATCTATCTATCTATCTATCGCAGTCTCTTCACATCTATCTATCTATCTATCTATCTATCTATCTATCTATCTATCTATCTATCAACGTCCATTGATATATTTCTATCTGTCCCCTTTCCAAACACCAACCGACTATGCTTAGTAATTTCCATCCGATGATTGTTGTTGGTATGAGAACAACTGAGTCATCGTATTCATGCGCTAGAAAAAATAAAGGCGAAAACCTAAAGAAAAGAATGCGACATATATAAACTGTAGATTTATTTTAATCTGATTATGTTTACTTAAGTTTTTCGATAAGGATTTATGCCATGTATGTATAATGCCCGGATGTGTGCGTGTGGATAAACAGAAAAACAACGTATGCACTCCCACGTATATACCTCGTGTGTGTATTACAAGAATTGTATGGAGAACTTTATTTAAGGCGTGTAGCAAATCTTTTCGCCCGTACGTATTAATGTTTACCAAGTTAAAGAATCGAATTGTTCAGAATCTTGCACCAATGTAGCCATATCATGGATAGGAAACTTTTCTCTTAATATTTAAGTATATTGATAATTTCTGAGGTAAGACTATATATAAAAAAAAGCTACGAATGTTTTAATTGTGAAGAAAATGCTTTTGATGCTCCTGAAAAAAAAATTATTTCACTTGATCTCTCTGTGGGAGGAAGTGTGAGTTTGTACTCAGTCACTATTACGGCAAATAATGCAAGTCTCTTCGGTAAAGCGAATCGAGTTCTTTCAGTCACTGTGTATTTATTTAAAAAATAAATAAGCTTTAATTCACCTTCATACCTGCCGTGCGCCAACGGATTAGGAGTAGAATCTCCGACTGACGCCAATTCAGCCGGGTCTCGATTCTAGCTAGATGCAACCGGACGTCTAGCCACACTGATGAGCTGTGATACAGCGAAACAGTTCATATGTAGATGACAATATATATATATATATATATATATATATATATATATATATATATATATATATATATACGGAACCGTCATGTAGCCTGACGTGCCTTTAACCGATTGGGCCACAGAGGAGCGTTCAGCGGACTAAATTTCATATATAATAATATATATATACGTAGATATATTAATAAATATGCGTATACCTACGTTCGAAGCGCAACTTAAAGTTCATTGTTCTACCAACTCATCAGGCACGTAATATATAATTCTTTGCTCTGTCTGACAACATTGAGCATGGTTTTGTTTGCACCTTAAATTAAACTGAGTAAATGTTTATTCGCTTACCTGTGTATGCATATGTATATCTAGTTATTTGATTTATCCACATTAATACCTCTCTCCCGCATCTCTCTGTACATACACACACACACACACATATATATATATATATATATATATATATATATATATATATATATATGTGTGTGTGTGTTTTTGATAATAAAAATATTTGGAATTAATAAATTAAAATTTTCAGACACACTGGGTTGTATATTAATATTTTTTTTTTTATTATTTCAATTAGATTTCACGAATAGTTTCGGCCATCATATAGGTATCACCAGGAGAAAAATTCTGCTTGTTAGAAGTATATATATATATATATATATATATATATATATATATATAAATAATGTTAGTGGAAAATATACATACATATGCAAAATATATAAATACCCTTACATGTATATTTTTATATAAAAATTCCAAGAGGAAGAATCCAGGTAGAACTCAATGTCTAGGACAGAGTAAGGATATAATAAAAAAGGCTTAAACATGGAATATTAGTGTTTAAGCCTTTTTTATATATATATATATATATATATATATATATATATATATATATATATAACTTTTATATATATATATATATATATATATATATATATATATATATATATATATATATATATATATGGGGAATTGGATTCACAAGTAGCCCCCCAGCCGCATGTGTGCACACTTTTAGGATAGAGCGATGCAGTTTCAATTTAGAGTTTCCTCTTAGAATAGTTGCCACTCAACACTAGAAAACCTAGTCTGTCCTGCTATTTTAATCCAGAGCTGGGCGGGGGTGAAAAGAAACGATAGATTTATTTATTTTCCAAATGAAACGCGGTTGGAATTAGAACCTGGTTCTTCGACTCCTCAATCCGACCCGCTAACCACCGTGAACCTGAAGATTGTATTGTGCATGAAACTCGGAGTTGTTATCAATAACACTCAATGTACCACATTATATATTCTTATATATATATATATATATATATATATATATATATATGTGGGGGAGACAGAGAGAAAGTGGTAAAAGGTTGCTCTCTGGTTCTAACAACACTTCAGTGGCAGATCTTCTATTATCACAGATACTGATGAGAATGATGGAAAGAAAGAGGAAAATTCTCCAAATGAAATCAGTTAGATAAAATTAAAATAAAAAAAAACTCCCAGCATTACTTGTTCGTGCCCATGTGTCGTCGTACCAACATAACAAATTTAGTCCTTTGAACGCTTCTCTGGGACCCAATGGGTTAAAGGCACGTCAGGCTATATGACGGTTCCGTATAGGATACAGGTTCGATTCCTGTCGGAGGACGAATATTTTCTTTGAAAATTTCTCGAACATTCAGACCGCTAAATGTTGTTTAATACTGTTTAGTATAAAACAGATCATTTACTTAAATATTTGTATCTATAAAAAGAATGTGTAAACATAAAATGTCTTAAAAGTAATTGTCGGACTTTGTCCATTTCATATATATATATATATATATATATATATATATATATATATATATATATATATATTATTATTTAAGAAAATTATAACATAAGTATGCTATAAAATCACTACAAAAATAGCCATTTTTGTTTCAACACCCTCAATGTCTTATCAAGATGATGTTAAAGATAAGATAAATGGTTTTAAAAGACTTTTAAAACCATTTATTTTATTTTCAACATCATTACTTGATAAGACACCGAGGGTGTTGAAACAAAATGGCTATTTTTCTAGTGATTTTATAGCATACTTATGTTATAATTTTTTTATAAATAATAATTATATCTGCTCTACTTTGTATTGAGCACTCTTTTAAGAATAGTAATTGTTGGTTATTGGAATCCATTCCGTATATATCAATTATATACAATATATATATATATATATATATATATATATATATATATATATATATATATATATATATTCTTTCCGATAATAACTTTCTATTTTCATGTTATACACGCATCGATGTTTACTTAATTAAGGACACACATTAGTTATATGATTCTCAGCCAGTGAGTATCAAATTTAGTACAGCATTAATATTGTAAGAGTCTGGCTCATTAATTACGAATATACTGAGGGATGCCTAAAGAAATATTGAATATCACAAAAAACTGAAAATAATTAGTCCGAATGTCAATAATGTAAAAGCGACTAAACCAATTCCCCCACCATGTTTTTTGGCTGAGTAAAGAGTATGTAACACAGTATGATTAAAAACAAAAACTTTCAAAGGGATTTGGAACTATCTTTTGGGGTCAATGGCTATCTAGCACAATGGGTAGACTGGAGTCCATAGCTATGGGTGCAGCCAGTGCGGTGATGACGCCGCAGTATCATCGGGCAGACGACTTCCAAGACGGGAGTCAACGGCCAGGGCGAATAGTATTCGTGATGGAATCACCTGCTACGGGTTCTTGACCAAAGCGAGCCTTCATGTTGGACGATGTTGTTTGACTCGGAGATGGACGGACTCCACCAAGTCTACTTGCACTAGACACGTTATGCATGAATGAATAATTTTTCCGGTTTTCAACCCAGATCTCTGGGCGTAATGGGTCGGGTGCTCAGGTTTGCGCAAGGATCCGATGATATTGATGATTATCCTATGAAATTTAGATATAACTTTGCATGATTTCTCTTCTGATAAATCTCTGGTGAAAGTATATTTAATAACGAAATAGGTTATATTTATAGAGATTTTCTTACTTATTCCTTATTTAATTATAAATATATGTATAATATCATCTACAAAAATTTGGCCGTGAACCTCGGGTGCCGCTCAAAATATTTCCAACTCTGCATAACATCTGTCTATATTTCTGAGATGAGGTATTATGTACACTATTTACATTATTCGGATTATTGTCCTCATCTTTGTTGCCATATTTATTACAACGTTTCCTTTATAACACATGGCACAGTGGATAAAAGCGTCGGTTAGATCCAATGATAGGACCCAAAGGGTTGTGAGTTCAATACCTGGAACTTGGAGAGGTGAATTAACAGGAGATAACTTATAACTGACATCCATTAGACATGGCACGTGGAACTAGAACACTCTACCCCAGTGTGCGAAATAAAGGGTTCAGTTCGACATTTCAACCACCTGACGAAAGCCGGTGAGTACAACAACTGAAATGTTGTAATAAATATAGGATGATGAAGAAAATAGTCCGAATAATGTAAATAAAAAGATAAAACTTATTAAGAACTACAAGGGACAGAAGATGTGGAGGGGCATGATCGCCAACATCCTGAAGGGACACAGCACATAAAAGAAGAAGAAACAAAATTTAAAATAGTATTTACTTCTGTCTTAATAGTAAGTAGGATAGTCTACCCCAGCGAGCGAAATAAAGGGTTCAGTTTGACATTCCAACCATCTGAAGAAGATCGGAGCGTACAACGGCCGAAACGTTGTGATAAATATGACAACAAAGATGAGGACGATAGTCCGAATAATGTAAATAGGCTGTAAACATCTCCTTGATGTGCAGTCCGGAATGAAGTCATTGTCAGATACAATGGCTTCCTTTATGACTAAGTGACCACACATAATATAACCAATATCCCCACATCAATAATAAAAAAAAAAATATTTGCTCTCACTGGACATAATTGATGCTGTGCCATTTTTCTGACGGTCTTCTCTGCCATATTGAACATTCTAATTCTTTTGAAGTTTCGTATTGTGATCTGTTTATCATCAACATTTATTAATAAATAGAGAGTATAACAAAGCGAGAGAATATAAGAGGCAGAGATATGACGCGAACCAGAATGCCTGCAATCACGTATGATGAATGAAATTCCGTTCCTGGGGGACA